CTGTTTTTGTGCATGTGTGTGCGGTTTTCTTTTTAAGTGTCTGCATGTGTGTCTATAATTGTGTGTTTGTGCGTGTATGTTTTTATATATTTATATAGATTGCAGATTCGTCCCCAGATGAAACTAGAGACGAATCTCCAATTGAGGACCAGTCCCTTTTTAGTAAGTGGGTTGAAATCCGGATGCATAGTGAGTTTTTGGCAAAATAAACCTGGCAAAGTCAATTCCTTTCCAGGTCAAATCACAGCCGATATATCCCAATCTGAAGGATCACCTCAGTCATGGAGACATGGCCATTGATTCTATTGGTTGTGGTGGGGGTGGGGATTACGCCTTGGCTGCTGACATCAGGTAAGGAATCCTACCACCCTGCTATTCCGTCATCACTCCATAAAGAGTTATGTAGTCCAATTGTGCTAGATGGCTGTTAGTCATCACAGAAAGATTCATCCATCTTTGATAGATATACTATAATCGTTGATTCATTTAAATAACCTGAATTTTAATGGCCTTGTGTCAGATTTCTTGAGACGACAAATATATCATATATTCAGTTTACAATGACGTTCCCTGTAAAGTTTACAATTAGATGTAACAGACGTTTTTTTTTCTTTTACGTCTGCATGGGCGCCCGGCTACTCGAGGCGGGGGAGTACTTTTCTCATGTGCTCCTGCAACGTTTCTCCTCTCCGCCATTGCTGTAAGAGAGGGGAAAGAAGAAGAAGAAGTAAGAAATGCATATTATGATGATGTGTACGAGAGATATTTGTTATTTTTGCTCTTTAAGGGTCCAGGATTGCAGTGTTCAGGAATGTATCCTCTCAGGTGGCTGTTCCACAATATATCAGTTCTAGTAAAGAAGTTGAGTAGAACTTGTTCATTATCAAAGGACCATAAAGAGAATAGGGATGGTTTGCCACCGTAAACCTGGCACATTGCTTCTTCGCCGTGAAGGTTCAACTTAGGGGGAATTAAAGAATGTAACTCGTTCGAACATCTACCATAGTAATCGCGATAGAGTAGTGAGAGGCTGGCAATGATTCGTCTGTCGGATGAAAGTTGCAGGGGGAGATTAACCCATCACCCACAAGGTCGTTAAATCGCTTTTATACTCTATCACGGTTGGACACTCTAGCACCAACCCAGATATGGCAGCAATACCCCATTCTTGGCCTGATTTGACTCTTAGGAAGATAGAGCATTGCCACGGGAGTTAGGTATTTTCAATACAACCGATTGTTCTTCCAGCATCTTTTGCGATGGCACGAATATACGCGTTCCATTTGACACTTTTTTATGCTTATACGTTCTTTTTTTAAGTAAATGCTCTGTTTATAATAAGCAGTATTAACAACATTTACCGGCCTGAATTGAGCATGTTTTAACACTACTGTTTTCTGGTCTGATTCAACCGTGACCATTAACCTTTACATATATATATATATATATATATATATATATATATATATATATATATATATATATATAATACTGTTGCCTGATCTGATTCAACTGTAACCATTAACCTTAAACAGACTGTCGCCTATAAGTGTTGACTTCTGTGTTCACTTTTATATTTACACACGCTCTATCTCTGATATTGAGCACTTTATCCAATAAATATAGCTCATCTTAATACTATATTTCTTCATATATATATATATATATATATATATATAACTATCCTCGTTTCGAAAAACCTTCGAATTTTTGATTTGCCAATAATCAAATCAATCTCGAGGGGAAAAAAGATTTAAAAAAAAGAAAGAGCTAGAATCATGAAAGTCTGTCGAAAAAAATCGCACAGATACAGGTTTAAAGCTCAAAGAAAAAAAAACCCGACACGAGTAAACAACTAACTAGCAAAAGAGCTCAATACAACCGTAGAGCCAGCTTTTTTTGACGATCCGCTTCGCTGAAACCTGGGTAGGTTTGTCTGCCTCACTAGGTTTACCTATATATATATATATATATATATATATATATATATATATAAGACACTTTTTATGTTTATACGTTCTTTTTATAGATACATATATTTAGGTAAATGCTCTGTTTATAATAAACAGTATTATTAACATTTATCAGCCGGAATGACCGAGAAATTATGATAGAAAATATGCGTCCTCTGATAGGAATCGAACCTGTATCTTATACGGAACCGTCATATAGCCTGACGTGCCTTAACCAATTGGGCCACAGAGGTGTGTTCGGCTAGCCAGGTTGATTTTCTCTCATTCATTGATATCTGCTCGATGCGTATCCAAATGTAATCAAATGACGTCACACATTATGAAATGAACAAAGTCCGACAATTATTTAAGACATTTTTTTTTTATATTTATACGTTTTTTTTATATATATACAAATATTGAAGTAAATGCTCTCTTTATAATATAAAAAGAACGTATAAACATAAAAAATGTCTTAAATAATTGTCGGACTTTGTCCATTTCTTAAATATATATATATATATATATATATATGTTAATTTGCTATTTTTCATAATATATACATACATACATACATACACACACACATATATACACACATATATATATATATATATATATATATATATATATATATATATATATGATAATTTGCTCATTACCGCTAATTATATTTTAAATTAATGATATTTTAAAGACGTTATTAAGTTATTATACCATTCAAAAGTGACTGATGGGATATTGTTATTATTGTTATTATTGTAATTGCTATTGCAGTTGCTACTATTGCTAAGGTTGTGTTATTTTTAGTGGCAACGAATATACGTTGTCACTTTCGTAATGCTCGTTGTAGTAGAGACTTTGTAATCGCAACTATAGTAATGCCGTTCAACAATACTGGTGTTAGACACCTTCAAATAACATTCGCACTAATAGTACTTGCTCGATAATATTCGCTTGAAAAGTAACCATCGAATAGTAATCCGTATAATGAGATATTCACTAACCGCCCCACGCGGACGGATGAGGCACAAGGCCAAGTTTATTGTGGGGTTTCCGAGCACGTAGGCTCGGTCAAAAAGACCCAGTAAAACCGGGGTCTGGTAGCTAACACCCCAGACGAGTCTCTGCCCTCTGGGAATATCTCTGGGATATTCACTAAACGCCCCATGCGGCAACAGGCCAAGTTTATTGTGGGGTATCCGAGCCGGTAGGCTCGGTTAAAAATTCACTGTAGACCCCGTAAAAAACGGGGTTGAGTAGCTGTCTACCACCCCTGACGAGACTCTGCCCTTCGGCATAGCCACGTCTGGGCTTCTCTCTGATCGGAGGCAGAGAGTTTGACAAGCACACTTCCGAAGTAATTCCAAGAGTGATCAATTAGACACCACACTAATTCCCATGCATACATTTCATTTACCACCACGTGATCTACTCATTCGAAATCGGTTTAGAGGATCCAGTATGAACCTGAAATAGTTTCAAGAACATATTGGCCGAAAAGCTTTGATACAAAAAACAAAGATGATGATACTAGACAGTAGTCTTTATTATTTCCGTAAATTCGGTCGGATACTTTATACAGCTTAGAATATGATGTGCGACTCAAAACTTTTGGGAATTTGAACAGCGCATATACGCAGAATGTAGTACAGGCTTTTGCCTCTACTCTTTGTGAGCAGTATGCCAACACCTAGTTCTTTATCCTATGCTTGGAATTACGAAGGGTGGCACTCTTGATGAGGGAGTACAACTGTAAAATATATTATTTAGAGGAAAGTAGATAAATTTGTTTGATAAATCCCATACGTATTGGGATGGTCAAAGATGCATTTTAAAAGCTAAGCAGAGTATTAAGAGACAAGAAAATATCGTTCGAAACAAAGAAAATTGTATTTAAACGTTACGTGATAACTGTCCTCCTGTATGGCAGCGAATGCTAGACAATCTCCTCCAAGATTAAGAAGAGATTTGAAGCAACAGAAATTTGTTTCTACAGAAGGATTCTACAGATAATTTCAACAGAACATGTGAGCAACGACGATGTTTCGAATAGAATAGAAACAAAAAGAAACTTATACTTAACATCAGGAAGCAATTCTGGGACACAAAATGAGGATAGAGGGCTTGGAAAATCTGATACTCAGAGGGAAAAAAGATACGGGTAATAAACGTGTGACATACTTAATAGGCTTAAGCAAATAGATGGAAAGCAGTTTTTCGGAGAAAGACAAAATTTATTAAGAGTTATAAAAGAAAGGAAAATGTGGAGGGCTATGATCGCATAGTTCCTGAAGAGACACGACACATAAAAGAAGAGTACTCACGGGACAGATTGGGGGAGAGAGGAAAGCGACGCGTAACATATTCGGTGGGCTTGAGAAAATGTATGACAGAACAGGGTTTGGGAGAAATAACAAACAAAATTTATTTAGCTACAAGGAAGAGAAAGATGTGGAGGGTCATGATCATATAAGTCATGAAGGGATAGGGCACATGAAAGAAGATAAAGAATAAGGGTTGATAAGAGGAGAAAGGTGAAAATTAAAACGAAGAAAATAACGATTGACAAAGGGAGGGAGATAATTAGATAGAGAAAGAATAAAATAATAGAGGAGAAGGAGAAAAGAGGAAGAAATAATGAAATAGAAGGAGGAGGAATAAAAGAAAATATGAAAAAAGACAGGAAGCTGGAGGAAGAAAAATAGAGGAAGGGGAGGAAGAAGAAAAAGAAAAAGAGGACGTAGAAAAAGGAAGAGGAGGAAGGAGAAAAGGAAGAGGAGGAAGAAGAAAAATCAAAGGAGGATGTAGAAAAAGGAAGAGGAGGAAGGAGAAAAAGAAGAGGAGGAAGAAGAAAAAGAAAAAGAGGACGTAGAAAAAGGAAGAGGAGGAAGGAGAAAAGGAAGAGGAGGAAGAAAAAAATCAAAAGGAGGATGTAGAAAAAGAAGAGGAGGAAGGAGAAAAAAAATTTGTTTGAAGAAAAAGAAAAAGAGGACGTAGAAAAAGGAAGAGGAGGAAGGAGAAAAAGAAGAGGAGGAAGAAGAAAAATCAAAGGAGGAAGAAGAAAAAGAAAAGGAGGAAGAAGAAAAAGAAAAGGAGGAAGAAGAAAAAGAAAAGGAGGACGTAGAAAAAGGAAGAGGAGGAAAGAGAAAAAGAAGAGGAGGAAGAAGAAAAAGAAAAAGAGGACGTAGAAAAAGGAGAAGGAGGAGGAGAAAAGGAAGAGGAGGAAGAAGAAAAAGAAAAGGAGGACGTAGAAAAAGGAAGAGGAGGAAGGAGAAAAGGAAGAGGAGGAAGAAGAAAAAGCAGAGGATGTAGAAAAAGGAAGAGGAGGAAAGAGAAAAAGAAGAGGAGGAAGAAGAAAAAGAAAAAGAGGACGTAGAAAAAAAAAGAGGAGGAAGGAGAAAAAGTAGAGGAGGATGACGAAAAAGAAAAGGCGGAAGAAGAAAAAGAAAAGGAGGAAGAAGAAAAAGAAAAGGAGGACGTAGAAAAAGGAAGAGGAGGAAAGAGAAAAAGAAGAGGAGGAAGAAGAAAAAGAAAAAGAGGACGTAGAAAAAGGAGAAGGAGGAAGGAGAAAAGGAAGAGGAGGAAGAAGAAAAAGCAAAGGAGGATGTAGAAAAAGGAAGGGGAGGAAGGATAAAAAGAAGAGGAGGAAGAAGAAAAAGCATAGGCGGAAGAAGAAAAAGAAAAGGAGGAAGAAGAAAAAGAAAAGGAGGACGTAGAAAAAGGAAGAGGAGGAAGGAGAAAAAGAAGAGGAGGAAGAAGAAAGAAAAGGAGGAAGAAGAAGAAAAGGAGGACGTAGAAAAAGGAAGAGGAGGAAGGAGAAAAGGAAGAGGAGGAAGAAGAAAAAGAAGAGGAGGAAGAAGAAAAAGAAAAAGAGGACGTAGAAAAAGGAAGAGGAGGAAGGAGAAAAGGAAGAGGAGGAAGAAGAAAAATCAAAGGAGGATGTAGAAAAAGGAAGAGGAGGAAGGAGAAAAAGGAGGAAGAAGAAAAAGAAAAAGAGGACGTATAAAAAGGAAGGGGAGGAAGGAGAAAAAGAAGAGGTGGAAGACGAAAAAGAAAAGGAGGAAGAAGAAAAAGAAAAGGAGGAAGAAGAAAAAGAAAAGGAGGAAGAAGAAAAAGAAAAGGAGGACGTAGAAAAAGGAAGAGGAGGAAAGAGAAAAAGAAGAGGAGGAAGAAGAAAAAGAAGAGGAGGAAGAAGAAAAAGAAAAAGAGGACGTAGAAAAAGGAAGAGGAGGAAAGAGAAAAGGAAGAGGAGGAAGAAGAAAAATCAAAGGAGGAAGAAGAAAAAGGAAAGGAGGACGTAGAAAAAAAGAAGAGGAGGAAGGAGAAAAAAAGAAAAAGAGGACGAAGAAAAAAAAAAGGAGGAAGGAGAAAAAGAAGAGGAGGAAGTAGAAAAATCAAAGGAGGAAGGAGAAAAAAGAAGAGGAGGAAGGAGAAAAAGAAGAGGAGGAAGAAGAAAAAGAAAAAGAGGACGTAGAAAAAGGAAGAGGAGGAAGGAGAAAAGGAAGAGGAGGAAGAAGAAAAATCAAAGGAGGATGTAGAAAAAGGAAGAGGAGGAAGGAGAAAAAGGAGGAAGAAGAAAAAGAAAAAGAGGACGTAGAAAAAAGGAAGAGGAGGAAGGAGAAAAAAGAAGAGGTGGAAGACGAAAAAAGAAAAGGAGGAAGAAGAAAAAAAAAGGAGGAAGAAGAAAAAGAAAAGGAGGAAGAAGAAAAAAGAAAAGGAGGACGTAGAAAAGGAAGAGGAGGAAAGAAAAAGAAGAGGAGGAAGAAGAAGAAAAAGAAAAAGAGGACGTAGAAAAAAGGAGGAGGAGGAGAAAGGAAGAGGAGGAAGAAGAAAAAGAAAAGGAGGACGTAGAAAAAGGAAGAGGAGGAAGGAGAAAAGGAAGAGGAGGAAGAAGAAAAAACAGAGGATGTAGAAAAGGAAGAGGAGGAAGAGAAAAGAAGAGGAGGAAGAAGAAAAAAGAAAAAGAGGACGTAGAAAAAAAAAAAAAGGAGGAAGAGAAAAAAGAAGAGGAGGATGACGAAAAAAAGAAAAGGCGGAAGAAGAAAAAGAAAAGGAGGAAGAAGAAAAAGAAAAGGAGGACGTAGAAAAAGGAAGAGGAGGAAAGAGAAAAAGAAGAGGAGGAAGAAGAAAAAGAAAAAGAGGACGTAGAAAAAGGAGAAGGAGGAAGGAGAAAAGGAAGAGGAGGAAGAAGAAAAAGCAAAGGAGGATGTAGAAAAAGGAAGAGGAGGAAGGAGAAAAAGAAGAGGAGGAAGAAGAAAGAAAAGGAGGAAGAAGAAGAAAAGGAGGACGTAGAAAAAGGAAGAGGAGGAAGGAGAAAAAGAAAAGAGAATGATGCTAAAAATAGCAGTGGCAGAAGATAAAGAAGTAAAGATGGAATTTGTGCAGAAAACACAAGGAGATTTCACTGTAGAATAAATCAAAATAGGAAGCGATTTTCGAAAGGTTTCCGCTGTTTTCACGATACACTTTTAGATGGTTTTAAAATCTAATTTTCTGCTTTCAGTTTCAAAGAAGTGAAACAACAGCAACAACAACAAAAACAAAAAAAAAAAGAAAAACTAATTAAGTAAATTGCGGTAAAGGCATGTCGTCACTGCAGGCAACAACGGAAAGGCAAGTTCAAAAACAATTTTAGAGGCATTTCTGAAGGCGCGAAAAATCAAGCAAGATTTAGTTTTAAGTTAATTTATGATGTGCCTTGCTGAATAAGTCAGGAAAAATATAAAAGTTGTTTGCTATTTAGGACAAAAGACGTCCATTACGAGATTTCTTCAGTTTTTGTACCTTTTTTTTGTTTTTTTTAAATTTCACTCTAGATGAGATAAGTATATTTTGAGAGTAGATATTGATTCTAAACGTTTTGATGACAAATGATTTCTGTGAAGACTCATTTCCCCTCAGGTATACAGACAGTTACATTTTTGCCTTGTGCATTGCCGCTGCTGGTATTTCAAGTGGGAGGGGGGGGCGGATTATATTATTATCTACTCATTTGTTGTTTCTTTCACGTTTTACATTTTTCGTTAACACATTCGGGCTTCAGCTCACTTTCATCAAATTTTGCTTCTTTAAATTTAGAATCAAGATTTGTTTTCAAATTTGATTCTTTTTAAGTTTTAATTGACATTTTTTTTTTTAAATCTTCTTCACGACCATGCGCACTCAGGTTCTTATTTCCGGCTTTTTCGTTTGTTTAATCTTTCATTTTTTAACGCTCATCAGTACGCTTCTAATTCCTCATATTTATCCCTTTTGGCTTTAATCTGCTGATTTTTTTCTTAAATCTTTCTTCCTTTTCGTTTTCTTCACCTGCTATTTTATTGATATTCTTTCCTTTTAACTGGCTTTCGGTCTAACCTTTTCCTCCTCATCTTTCAACGAGATCCTTACAGTCCTTTCCTTCTACTTGGTAAACTTAGAGGGTGAAAATGACAAAGTTTATCTTTGGCGCGCAGTTCAAATGCCACAAAAATTTTCTATATATATATATATATATATATATATATATATATATATGAAGAAATATAGTGTGAAGGTGTGCTATACTCATGGCATAAAGTGATCAATATCAGAGATAGAGCGTATCTAAATATAAATATAAAAGTGAACATTGAAGTCAAAACTCAGAAGCGACAGGCTGTTTCATGCTGGACGCAATCGTCAGGCCGCGAATGCTGGATATTTCTTTGGCTATTTATATATATGGGTCAGTGTTGCATTGTGGGTAATTTATTCTGGCGGTTATTTTGCGGGCGTGGCTTGTTTATTTATTTGTTTGGGTTAATTTATTTTACTTGTTTTTCATTTTCTTTTTGTATTATATATTCTTTTCGTTTTTTGATGTTTTATTAACGTAGTAAAAAAATTGTGGGGGGATTTGCTTAGGTCGCTTATTAATAGTTAATTAAAGCTATTTATTCGTCCAAGGTTTAGATTGCTTGCCGTAGTCTATTCTGTTATTTTGGCGGGTGGACGTTTTTTAATCTATTTACTTAGATTGATTATTTATATTTGTTTTGGCTTATTTATGCTTATCTTTATTAGTTCTAACGGTTATTTTAGTGGGGACGATTTGTTAATTTATTCATTTATTTATTTGCATTAATTTTTTGTTTTGTTTTCTTTTTGTATATTTTTATTTATTCTATTTGGTTTACGATTTTTTAGTGACGTAGTGAAGTTTTTTTTTACCGATATATAGCAGTTACAGCTATTTTTACGTCCAATTTTTGGATTGGTTGTTATAGTCTATTCTGATGGTTATTTTGATGAGATTGGTTTGTTATATACATACATACATATATATATATATATATATATATATATATATATATATATATATATATATATATATTTCAGTTGTATGGATATAAGTTGGTGATACTGTTCTTCACGCTTCTGCGATCATCAGACAAACAGGTTAATTTTTTAAAAATTGAATCTATTTATGCTTGTTTGTGTTTGATTATGTTTCGTGGTGGGATGGGGAGAAATTCTGTGTGTTCCTTTGGGATATACATACATGTATACGTATTTTAGTTCACGCGAACGCAACTATATAAAAAATCCGAGATTAACATCCAGATAAAAAATCCGCAGATAAATATCCATGCTTTTGAAGCATGCATACATATAGAATTGTAACTCTATTTCGGTGTCGAGAAAGTGTGTAGCGATGTTCTTTCAATAAGGGACAAGTTCTTGCCACCCTTTTCAGATCGCCCGCTAGGGTAACAAACTCATATCCATACAACTGATATTGAGTTCTTTCCACTAAGTACTGCACATCTAAAATAACACACACACACACACACACACACACACACACACACACACACACACACACATTTTTGTAGTGATTTATAACATATATATATATATATATATATATATATATATATATATATATAATTATCTATTTTAAAATATGATTCCAAATCGCTACATAAGAGGTCTCATGTTTCAAAACAAGAGCCGAAAACTTCAATATAATCCTTTAAATTAAATTGAGTTGAAAGTAAAATGGGCTCCGTTCCATCTTCAAGCGAAATTTTTGTTGGAATAACGTATATCTGAAATTTATTTGTTTTAAAATTGAAATCAAAATCCCCATGGTAACAGCTATGGTGAATTGTCTAAATTGGGTAGGCGAGTGTAGGGTGTTTATAATAAGTAGCGGTATAGAGATACTTTCAAGGTGTCAAGTCGGGGAAAGGTGGGGGTGTCAAAAATGAAACGGAAGATGTATTGGCCATCGTCTTGTTTGCTTGTCTATGGAGATTTATTTATTTATTAACTCGTGTCTATTATTTAATAGATTATTATTATTTAGAAGTTTAGAAGTTTACGGTTTTTTGTAGACATCATCAGATTTTTGGTTTGAATTATTAGATAAAAAAATTTATATAACTTGTTTAACAAATAGCCCAATCATCAGATTCATAGTAGGAATAATTAACTACAAACATGCATACAACATAACACACTTCATAATCCATAGCCTAAATTAGTAGTTTAAATACCTTACATATAAGATAACCCTTTATGAAGTCGTCAAAAAACAAACGTTACGAAAGTTTCTCTTTTTTTATATGCACAATTCCCTTTCATAATAAAATAAAATAAAATAAATAAATAAATCTCGCCTGTACTCTTTATATATATATATATATATATATATATATATATATATATATATATATATATATATATATTATTATTTTTAAAAAATTCCATCACGACACAGAAATTACTGTTTCGAAACTAGTCACCCGTATTCAAAAAAAAAGAAAAAAAAAAGAAAAAAAAAAGAAAGACCATTAAGATATATATAATCTGGTGTTCTTATTGATATTTTTTATTTTTATTTTTACAATACAGTGCTCAATGTAAATTTACAGAGCATTAATATTATAAATTAACTGATTAAAAATATTGTTTTTTCGCTACACAGTTCTAACCCTGTTTCAAAAGCTTCGAATTTAATTTTGTAATTAAATTAAAGACATTAGTTCCATTTCATCCTCAAACGAATTTTGGAGTAACTTATTTTTAAATTTACTGGCTTTTAAAGGCACAGCAAAAATCATAATTTACTGTTTTCATGGATATAGAGAAATCCATTCATCCATACAAGGGGTGGCTGCGTGTTCATCTTCATTAACTTTTGTTGTATCAGTTATTAGTTACATTTGAAAGAGGGGTTATGTTTAGGTAGGGGTAGTGATGTATTTTTCAACGAATTCTGACATCCCTTAAATGAATGTCGTCTGGATTTCTTTTTTCAATTTTATTGTTAACGGCAAAAATTCTTACGGCATTTTTTCTATTTGTATACTTCTATTTGTATACTTAATATATACTTAATTCTCTCCAGCCTTCTTCAGGTTGTTGAAAGGTCGAACTGAATCCTTTATTTCGCTCGCTGAGGAATTAGCAAGAGATAACTGATAACTGACATCCATTAGACATGGCGCGTGGAACTAGAACAGTCTACTCCAGTAAGCGAAACAAAGGGTTCAGTTCCAAATTCCAACTACATGTAGAAGGCTGGAGTGTAGTTCGGCCGAAACGTTGTGATAAATATAGCAACAAAGATAAGGACAATATTCCGAATAATGTAAATAATGTATTGAGAATTAGTTTTTTTCTTTTTTATCGTTAAAGTTTCCAATTTTTTTTTTACCGTTTTGAGGGATTTAGATGAATCTACGATCTTTGTATTTTCTACAAGCAAGAAAAAAAAATCTAGATATACTGAAAGCACCCCCCCGCAAACACATGACACAATAGATCGAACGATTTTAAATGTCGTCTATTAATAAAATCTGAGATAAATGGTTGGGAATGGCTTTGAGGGGGTGAATCCAGTAGGTCTTGTCAGGGACCATTCTTCCTCGAATCTTGTGGACTGGCGCTACAGAAACTTGTTTTCCTGAAAAATTGTTTTAAGAGAAAGATTTTATAAATTTCCACCCAAAGGAGTAGCGTCTGCTTGGCCAATGAATGCCGAATGTTTCCTTATAGGGAAATAGTTAATATTCCCATTACTAATATCATAGAGCAAAGGCTGTGGCACAAATATCATATCATATATATATATATACATTATCATAAAAGGAAAGAACAGTAAGATATATAATCAGGTGTTCTTATAGATATTTTTATTTTTACAAAACAGTGCTCAATGTAAATTTACAGAGCATAAATAATATAAATTAATTGATTTTTTTTTAAAAAAAATGTTTTCTTCTCTACATAGGAATCCCCATGTTTCAAAAACCGAAGCCAAAATGAACACGCTACCGCCCTTGTCTAAATGATTGGATTTCTCTGTATCCTTGGAAACAAAAAAAAAATATGAATTGTATGAGCATTTAAATCTCAGTCAATTAAAAAATAAGTTATTCCAAAATTCGCTTGAAGATGAAACAGAACTAAAGCCTTTAATTTAATTATACAATTAAATTTGAAGTTTTTAGCTTCGGTTTTTGAAACATGGTAATTCCTGTGTAGCGAAGAAACCATATTTTAAATCAGTTAATATATATACATATGTGTGTGTGTGTGTGTGTTTTTGAAAAGAGAGCTCTAAAAGTTATAAAAGTATGGAAAAGATGAATCAACTTCTGAAAATACTGAAGAATTGAACATATATGTATTTGGGCTGGAAGTTTTCAGATTTATTTCCTGTTAATTTTCTTTGGTTTGGTTCGGCCATTTTACAAGGTGCCGGGGAGAATTTGAACACAAATTGTGTCTATTTTTTTTTAGTCTAGCGGCCTGAATATTCAAGAAATCTTAAAGAAAATAAGCGCCCCCTGGCAGGATTCGAAATTGCGTCGTTCTTAGCGGAAGAAACCGCATTTAGATTCGACGTACTCTTACCGAGTCAGCCACGAAGGACATTTGCCGACCAAATACGGCTGAACAGCGCCTTTGAATGAAATCATTTGCCTTTCTCGAACAGTCAGGCCGGTAGGCGTAAATAAATAAATATACCGTTTAATGAATGAACGGAGCGTTTACTCAATTGCGAGCATCCATTAAAAAATAATGTTTAAGTGATAATACACACACACACACACACATATATATAAGTTCGCCCATATGAGTGAAAAAATAGGCGAGTAGAGTCTGTGTTTATCAGTCTTGCT